CACACACACACACACACATACACACACACACTGTAACCCTCATCATATTGTGTCTTTGTTCCACAGAGAGCATTCAAGTGGGGTTCGCGTCGGCCTCCACAGCAGCAACCTTCTGCTGCGGAGCTGCACCATCAGGAACACGGAGACGGTGGTCGGCATCGTGGTTTATGCTGGTGAGTAGGGCTGCCACAAACGATTATTTTTATAATCGATTAATCATCGATTATTTTTTCGATCAGTCGACTAATCAGATCATACGTTAATTGAATATAAAACATACAGCTTATTGTGCTAGAATGCAGCTGCTATTATATAACCATTAGACTTTAGCTATATGCTAACAAAAAAAATAATTGCTGTGGAAGGCAAGTTCTGCCTTGCAAATATTACACAGGTTTCTCTTTCATTTTCTTATGATCCCACACTTTTGAGCTCTGTTGTCAGGTAGCCATGATACCAGAGCCTGTCTGTAAAATGTCTTGTGACGTCCACGGCCTACCCCAGTTACCACTACTGTGCATGTGTGTCAAGGACAGAAAGGCAGATGTGGCAGTGGAAGATGTCAAAGCAGTTTGGAGAGAAAAACAAAGTAAAGAACAAAAAAAAAAGAAAACTATTAATCGATAATTAAATTAGTCATCGATTATTTTAATAATCAATTAGTTGTCGATTAATTGACTAATCGTGGCAGCCCTACTGGTGAGACATCATCACACTGGAAATCAGTTTGACTAAGAAACAAAGCTATCTTATTAAGCTTAAGCTGTCTTATTAATATGTAGTTCAAACACTCTCTGTTTACTTTTTTTATTCATACCAGTTTCTTGGAGTGTGACTTGGTGTCTGGGTGTCATCCTTGACAACCRTCTAATAATCTGAGCACACATCACATCAGTAACATAATTCAGACTGCATATTTGCACCTGTGTAATAACTGCCTCTGCTCAGCTCACACACTGACCACACTGCTGTTCTGTCAGTATCCTGCTCACCTCACTCCTCCATTATTATAACACCCTTTTATTTTGGTCTCCGACAAAAGTTTCTTAATAATCATCATTACTAGAAGCACCTTGTTTACCCACATCAGCTGAACTTTCAGGCACGCCACCGTTTTTTTATCTTTCAAACATGAATATGTTCAACACATGGAACACATGGATGTTGCACATGGAGTGTCATGCAAAATACAAACCTACACATTGACCCATAGTAGAGTCGTCTCTGAAAGAAATTAATTGAGATTAATTGTGATTAAAATTTTATTCTATGTCCAACACTATAATAGTATTATACTTTTAAATAATTAACTTTAATATTAATATATACATTTATACTTTTAATTATTTTACTTTTTTTACTGTCTGTAATAACAAAGGCTAATAAAAACAATACACACAAACAAAAAATAAACAAATAATAACTAAACCTAATAAATAACCCAAAAATATAAAGTAACTAAGAACAAATTTTAACAAAATCCAAAGTGATAAAGATAAAATAGCTCCAACTCTAGTTGTAACATTATACATTATTCGATAAAATCAAATTACATCAACTGTAAAACAAAGACTGTAAAAATACTGCAGACTGTTACGTTTTTATAAATTTAAAAAACATATTTTTCACAGACGGRGTCATGTTTTTAACGCTCCCTTTAAACTTACAACACCGGTGGCGTCATTCAGCTTCTAATGGGTTATTAAAAAGATTCTAACATCATTTAAAACAGCGCTGCAGCTAATTGAGGTGCAGTTTTTACTCTATTTGTTCTGAAATTGTCTGGAGCTGATTTGATCACATCCAGAGTTTGTAGGCATCCTGTGTGAAGTTACAGTAAATGAGCAGGAGCACTTCAGGAACAGTCAGTGAAACAGATCTCCTTTCTGTTTGTTCTGCTCCCCTTCCAGTTCAAGTACCAACCTGCATGTTGGTGTTTATKCAAAACTCACTCTGAGCACGATGTTAGTCAAAGGAAACTGGAGGTGGCTGCGAGTAAAGTGTACAGTCGAAACATGAAACAGATCAGATGTGTTTRTCTCTCAGCTGTAAAACAAATCACACAGCAGGTTGGATAAATTTAGACCCTGTGGGTCAAATAGCCTCTATGCCACGGACCTCCGATCTAGCACTCCCGCATTCTTTGGCCACGCACCGGTCTTCCGGTTTGCAGGCCGGCTCTTGAATATCCTCAGGTTAGAAATGCTGATTASAAATGCGAGCGTGAGCTTTTATAGCTAAGTTTTCCCTGTATTGCTATGAAACGTTGCTGTTGCCTTTCCTCCACATCAAGAGGAAAATGTGACCTTGTCACGGACTAGTACTAGGAGCTAACGCTGAAAACTACCGGCAGTAAGCAGGAAGCGGAAGGGAGGTGCGTGGCAGGAATTTTAACAGAAATACGTTATCAATGGCTGTGGCATATGGCATATTATGTAATAAATTTTATGTCTGGATCKTGATGTTTAATTTAGACTTTTATGACTGTTATTTGTTGCTACCATGTGATCCTGATGAGTTTTGTCCTCAAGTTGACCGAGATTATCTGACATGTTTGTCAGTTTTCTTTAAGCTTGAGCACCCCTGTCTTCTGTAGGACTTTATCAGTTGTTAACATTCTTTCRTCCAGAGAGAGGGTTCATATGTTGTGTTATTGTGCGGCTCAGGTCATGAGACTAAAGCCATGATGAACAACAGCGGGCCGAGGTACAAGCGCAGCAAGCTGGAGAAACGCCTGAACACAGACGTCCTGTGGTGCGTCTTCCTCCTCTTCGTCATGTGTCTGACTACTGCTTTAGGTGTGTACCGARGCAAGAACGCACAACACAGCTGCTCCGAAAGCAGCGGCTTTGGATTCAACAGTAACTGAGAAGCTTTTTGGTGCATTTTCAGGTCACGGCTTCTGGTTGAAGAACCTCAAAAACCCTATTTTTGGGGTTGATGGCGAGACGTCGCCTGCTCTGTCTGGGTTCTACGTTTTCTGGACTATGATCATTGTGCTCCAGGTGGGTTCAGATAGGGGCACATTTGCACCTAGCAGCCTGATTGATTTTTAGATATGAAAGAGACAATAAAAAWGAGGCATTGGTCACTTTTATTGCTTTTAAATCTATAATCCAAATATTTGATTTTCTGACATCGACTCTTTGTTTCAGATGATGCTAACAGACAAGAACAAGTCGAAATGCACCATCACTTAAAAACATTAAACTATTTCAAAGGAGTGATTCCTTGTTTGCTAGGCTGATTGTGTATCTTAGYACAAAGCTTCTGTAGAACCTTTATTAGATTCAGAGTTTTATTTTTTGACAGTCTGATCTCTTTCAACAGGTGCTCATCCCCATTTCTTTGTACGTCTCTATTGAGATTGTAAAACTGGGTCAGATCTACTTCATCCACAACGACGTGGACCTGTACAACGACCAGCTGGACTGCAGGATCCAGTGCCGGGCTCTCAACATCACAGAGGACCTGGGTCAGATCCAGTACCTGTTCTCGGACAAGACGGGAACGCTGACTGAGAATAAGATGGTGTTTCGTCGCTGCAGTATTTATGGGGTTGAATATCCTCATGAGGAAAACGGTGAGAAGCTGACATTAATATTTGTTACGGTTAAAACAGGATTATCTGATTCTATGCCTCCATAATTATAATAATCTTAGAAAAACTAAATAATCTCTTTACTGAAGCTGATTTGCAAGGTTATAAAAGTTTTTGATTTTTCGTTACAGTTTAGTGTTATTTCGTTGTGACTTTTTTCTTACAATTCAGTTTTTATTAGTTTTTAGAGTGGGTTCGRTAGTTTTTATTATTGATTATTTAATGCTTAGTTTTACTTTAGTTTAGTTTTCATTAGTTCTTAGTTTATTTATAGTTTAAATAAACATATTTGCCAATGTCTCCCCCTGCTTGTGGTGTTCCTGTGAGTTCAACCAGCAGCTTTTTTGTTCATCTGTGAAAGCAGTCCATTATAGCAACACCTTCCTAAAGTAATCAACAAAGGACTTGGGTAATTATTATAAGAAGGTGACAATCGTTGTCTCCATCCTGGTGTTACACCATARTCTGTGACCATCATATATTGTGACAGTAAGAGACGCTCTTGCATCTTTATACTGTACTTTYCCAGACCTTGGTCTCAAAGAAGAGTACGCTATGCCAAAAACATAAACTTTGAAGGGGGGGACAAACGCCAATAGAAAAATAAAGAAATATTATATCATCATAATATATCACGGTCATATCTGTGACTGTATATATTTCCATAATAGTCATAATATTAGTGGTCAGATGTTACTTTTTTATTCTTTGTTCAGCTTTTTCTTRATTTTTATTTTTTGTGTTTGTCCCCCACTTCGAAGCTTACGTTTTTGGCATAAGTGTAGCATAAAATAGCAAGAGCGCCTCSTACAGTCACACTTATAAGATGGTCACAGAATATGGTCTAACACCGGTTCTGCCTGGCCGGGCGTTTGGTTGTCTTTCACGGGAGCTACTAAGAGAAGCTAGCTTGWCAAGATACTCACAGTTAGCCSTCTRGTTTGAGCTTGATTTGTGCAGTTTTTCCCCTTTTGAATTATTCCACCTATTTTATCATCTGTTTCCACAAAAAGACACTTGCTTTYATTTTTCTCCCAGTCATATTTACAGAAATCCCAAATCTGACTTTGCTGAACAACTTTTGTTGTCATTTTGTATGCGAGCGCTGAGCAGCAGCAGACTGTAAACAAGTGACGTTACGGAACATGAGGTGCCGTTAGCTTCCCACGGCTAATGCTAAAGCTGCTCAATTTGATGTTAGTTTTTAAAAAGATTATACAGTTTCAGTTATCATTTTTTCATTTTATTACAGCATTTATATATTTCAGTTTCATATGTTTTTGATCCCCCACCCCCTCCCCTCCTTAGCTGGCTGCACTTTTGCAGAGTAGTTTTTTTGAGCATGTTTGTGTGTTTTCTGTATAAAAACACAGGATCAAAGCTATTTTTTAAAATTCACCCTTCTTTTAAAATTCACCCTTCTTTTGTGTGTGTATTCTAAACTGCAAAGGTAGCGCACTACGTTGCGAAAGACCATGGACATTCATTCCCACATGTTTGTCGTGTGTGTGTTTCTCCGGACGGATGTTCTAAACTGCAAATTTCGTTCTGCACTGCATCTTAATGCTGTGTGTGAATGACAATAAACGATTCTGAAATTCTGAACAAAAAMGTTTTTTCGATTTCAGTTTTTGTTATTTTGTTAAGAGAAATGTCTTTATATCTGGATTTGGCTTGTTCTAAACATTTTTAAACCATATCATACCATCTTTATTTATAAAGCACTTAAACAACCYTAGCACCCAAGTCCTGTACAGTCACGGTGCATAATAAAAGCCTAATCTGAAAATTAAAACTGTATAATAAAAAAAAGCACATAAAACAAATTAAAAATAATCTCAAAACAAACTAAAAGTCAGCATCTCAGATGGTGCCAAAGAGAAGAGATGGGTTTTAAGTAACGGCCTGTCTGAGGCCCAAAGGCAGGTTGTTCCACGTTTTAGGAGCAGCAGAGGAGAAGGAACGATCCCCTCAAAGCTTACGGTTGGTTTTTAGGCCAGCTGCCTTAAATAGAAAAAAGCTGGATTTCCCCACTGCTCCTATTTGATTATCAAACTTAAAGAAGACCAATTATGMGTCCTAGAAATTTTTATGGTATGTCTGTGGGCTATCCAGACCATGTTCTCCATTTAATGCACAAAATAATTCTCAGATAATAAAATTTCCCATTTTCTAGTTCTGCCTGCTCTGACTTCCATTCAGAAGAGCTGTTTATGTTAATGAGCTCTGTTGGTAACGCCCTCCAAAAATGTGTTGACATTAACTCCGCCCTCCAAAGGCAGCGTTTACGTTAGCATGGCTAATAATAGCAGAAGCTCCGTTGTACAACCAAATGAGAGACCCAGAGGCAGAATTGTGGTCCCAGCCCCCCCCCCACCCGTGCTCACTCTGCATGCTGTTACCAGAGCAGGGAGCAGCAGCGGTGAAAGTACCTCAGAAACTTGAACAAATAGGCTTTAACCAGGCTTTAATAAGCTAAACAATAGAGGTACATGAGAAAACGTGTTCATAARGAATGAAAATAAAGAAATAATTAAATTGTGACCATGCCAGTCTCYAACCCTGTTCTCCTGCTTTCTGGTCCAACACTCTACCCATTGCCCCATTGGAGGCTTGTTGTGAAATGAGCTGCYCATTGTACAACAACAATCGTGATGGCTTTTTATACWGAGGAGGTGGAGTCTCACCCGGGGGTTGCTAGGTAAGGGGCTGAACGCAGGTTCCGGTGGGTTGTCATACGGCTTGTGACATCACAAAATGGCCGAAGTATAAAACTTGTTGTTAATATGCATTAAAAATACATTTACTTACAGTAAATATGCCCCTGGGTGCAATTTTTTGGTCCTAGGACTGTTTTTTTAAGAAGCACATACCCAAAGTTGAGTAACAAAACCTTTTAAAAAGTGAATTTTGCATAATAGGTCCCCTTTAAGATCACTGTCCACCTAAACATCTGTCTTTGCATTTCAGCTCGGAGGCTGGAGGTGTACGAGGCGGAGGAGGACGAGGCGGCCGGTCGCACCGTGACTCTGAAGTCGGGCTTCAGCGGGAAATCCCTGAGCTGTCGCTCCGTCAGCTGCAACCGCAGCTCCGTGTCCCTGCACACGCTCACTGCTGAGTCGTCAGAGGAGGAGGACCAGCTGCCCAATCATGTCCCAGCGAGGACGGGCGTCTTCTGCAGCCGCATGGTCAGAATATTTCACACCGTTCCGCGGAATCTCTTCCTTGTTTTGTTGTACTTGTTTACGTGTAAACAGGGCCTCAAACTGAACTTGTGTTGCTCATTAAAGACAGAAACTTTGACGTGAGGAGCAGGAAACCTGTTTAGAATTAAGGAAAGAAAGAAAATAAATGGAAAACTTGTTTCAGTCTTCCAGAGAACTCAGACTAGGACAAAGTCCACCTTTTTTTCAATTTCGATACAGAAATTTGAGGTTTAGATACAGATCCGATATCGTAAAACAGCACTGAATTGAATTAAKCATTTCTTTTAAACACATGTATGGGATAAATCTTGTACATCAATAAAAGAGGGTTATTTGGCCAAAAAACACACAAAGTATCTCTGCAAAGCCCTTGGTCACAGAGTAGCAATCATACAACTCATTTATGAACATACACYTCTCTGTTTCAACCATTTATTTACAGAAATGAATGTTTTATTATGCAGAGCTAAGCGCCCCTTCTGGTGGGGGAACAGATTACTTTAGGGATACAGTAATTTGGCATGAGCTGTCGTGGTACAGGGACAAACAAACTTTTTTACATTTCTGTTTCAAAGTAATTTTCTTTTTGTTATCTGAAACAGAAAATGAAACACAAATCATTTTAAAAAAATTACTCATGCCTTTTTGGCACTAAAGGGAAATACTTTGTATTTTAATTTTAATTTCTGTATTTTAAAACACAAATCAAATAGTCACTTCCTGATTTGTAAGGAAAATCCAATGACCATAATTGACACTGACCCTGAACTCGTGTTGAGTTGATTATTTTTTTGTGTTTGTGTTCATTCAGGCGAAGGACGTGGTCCCGGACCCTGATCTGGTCAGGAAGTTGAACTGTCTCTGCTCTTCAGCGCTGCGTCTGAGAGACGTCTCCACGGAGACGTTGTCCAGCCTGGAGCTCACCTACATCACCGACTTCTTCCTGGCTCTCGCCATCTGTAACAGTGTGGTGGTTTCCTCTCCCAGCCAGCCTCGCCATGTGGTGAGTCAGACCCGTCAATCTGAAACCAACCAAKCCGCTTCGATAGCTTGTTTATTTCACGTGATTATAGAAAAAAACCAGAAGCACTCGCAGAGTGCAAACCTCCGCCAAGACCAATTTACCAAGAGTTAATGCGCAAAAGCAGAGATGGAAACACATTTGCCGAATAAGTTCTGACATAGCGAACATTTAAGCAGCAGTGTGCATGGGATTTCTTCTCTGTGGAGTCCAATGTGAAAAAAAAGTCAGACTCGTCACCCGACGTTATTCATGGTCAAACTGGTGTGGGATTAAGCTCCTAAGTTTTCATCAGTCATATTTCACCATGTAAAACGTCTGTTTTATCTCCTTGTATGAGTTTGTAATGGTTTGACTCTCTTTATAAAGTGCTTCCTGGCTCCCCCCGTCTCCAAACTTTGAAGCCCGGCAGCTCTCTGCTTACAAGCCTAGTAGCTGTCAACTGTTTTGATTGGTTGTTTCCGAAATGTGGTGTGTTTGAAGAAATGGGAAAAATAGGTTTCATGGTGCAGTCACGCACTTCCTGGTCACAAAACGTTCTGTAAATGTGCATATTATGGCATATTATGGCATATTATGGCAAAAATTATTCATGATTAAACCTGGTTTTAACATTACCTTTATAAAGTTTGAAGTCCGTGCTGTCCAATCCAGCTAACTGTTTTTTACAGAAGCCCTGTGAAAGCATCACAGCTTTGCCGATCTCAGAGTGTTAAAAGAAAAAAGAATTCCTGTATCCGCATCGTGATCCAGAACATCACCAAAATGTATTGGTGTGTTACTTGGCCCAGTACACACATGTGGTAAAAATGTCATGACAATCCATCCACAAGTTTTTAGTAATGTTGTCCACAGACAGAACGACAGACATACGCGACCGAAAACATTTCCTCCTTGGCGGAGGTAACTAATACACTAAAGACACCAGGAAGCCTCTTCACATAACGTCATGTTCTCGTTTCCCTCCAGGTGACTGAAGCTCAAACTCCTCTGAAGTCTCTTGAGGAAATAAAATTGATGTTCCAGCGTCTCAGCTTCTACCGTCCTCAAATAAAAAGCAGCTTCACCAGCAGGCTGTTCGCTCGGGGGAAGACCGGCTCCTTCACCCTCCCCTTCCCCTCCAACAGCAGCAGAGATGGGTCCGACCCAGCTCTGGAGAGCAACCAGGAGACCGTCAGAGCTCAGGTGGACCTTTTAGCCAAAGGAGGTGGAGATAACTCCGTAAATACGGAGGAGCAGGAAGAGCTGGAGGTCGACGTGGAGGCAAAATGTGACGAGCTCCAGCAGGACGAGGAGGACCTGAACGGAGACGTGGAGCCGGAGGACGAGCTGCTGTACGAGGCGGAGAGTCCCGACGAGGCGGCTCTGGTCCACGCGGCTCGAGCGTACCACTGCACCCTGAGGGCCCGGTCCGCCGAGAGCCTGCTGGTGGATCTGCCGGGAGTCGGCTCGCTGTCGGTGCAGCTGCTCCACATCCTGCCCTTCGACTCCAACAGGAAGAGGATGTCTGTGGTGGTCCGCCACCCGCTCACAGGACAGGTGGTGGTTTACACCAAGGGGGCCGACTCCGTCATCATGGATCTGGCTGAAGCGCCGAAAGGTAGAGTTTCTTTTTGYATGAAAGATTCTGGTCTCCAGATCTGACTGAGGAGTTGTGTCACATTAGACCAGCTGTGGTTTGTTTCCAGGTGCAGAGCAGCAGCTCTACAGTCACATCAGAGATCAYACCCAGAAACATCTGGATTCTTACGCCAGAGAGGGTCTGCGCACGCTCTGCATCGCAAAAAAGGTCAAACAACAACATAAAAAAACCTCTTATTATCAGTTTCGATTAGTGCGCGGCATGTTAACACGTTATCGTTTTAACGCTGCGATAATCTTTTTAACACAGTTATTTATTTATTTCCTTTTTTTTAATTTAGTAAATTTATTCATTTAATTTAAAAACAAAGCAAATACTATACATACAACAAACAATACAAATCACAAATAAAATGAAAAAAATCTTAATATC